GATGATGGGGGCAGATCCCTCGGCCGCCTGTTGATGATCAAGCGGCGGACCGGCTGGTTTACTGGATTCAGCCGGGCAGTCCTCCCGTTCTCTCCTTTCGATCGATGGGACGGGTGTGTCGAGCTCTGAGGGACCCGTCAGGGGCCGTGCGAGTCTCGCCCCTCAGTTTCATTGTCTGTATCCTGGTCTGAGTAGACCTGGGGGTCGTCCATGGGACGCTTGTCACTTAGAATCGGTACAGACTGTGATGCCATTCGAAAGTACTCTCCCCACAGACGGCGCCAAAATGTTTCGGGGTTTTTTTATGTCCTGCGGGAGAGTTACAACTCCGGGACTGGATCCGTGCGCCTGTACCTGCAAAACAACGGAAACTGCGGTTGGTGGGAGCTCCGCCTCCGACGATCAAGTTAGAACGTGTTTAGGAGTAAAAGGTGCGGAAAGTAAAGGTGATCAGGTTCCTCCTAGGAGAGGAGTGATCAGGCTAGTTGCAGTGGGCAACCTTGGAAGGTGTGCAATTAATGCTATGTAAGGTCTAGCAATAAGTATGCACGTGGGGTAATCTCTCGATTAGTTTCATTAAAACTGTTTAATGGAGGCTAATTATCTGTTTATATAGCCTTGAAGTACGTGCCCAATACTAGGTTAAATGGTAAACCTAAGACTGATTGGGCTTACCTCGGGAATAGGGCCTCGCTGGCCGTTTTCCAGGTTGGCAATCTAGGTGCCACGTGGCGTGGCTTGGTTGGTCCATGTTAGACCTCCTGAAGTATGACACGTGGCAGCCCCTGATTGGTCCACGTGGTTGACACGTGGCAGGTGTTGATTGGTCCACGTGGCAAGGAAAAATCCCCTAAACAAATAAAATTAGTTTAGACACATAAGAATTTTTTTTTACCTTTAATTATGTTAAAACACTAGAATAGAAAAAACACAAAAAAAAAAAAAATGTTAGATATTAGGAAATTACAAAAAAAATATTCAAATTAAATAAAAAAAAAATTGTGCATCGCACGGGCTTATATCCAATATATATAAGTAAAGTTCTCAAGAGCATTCGGCGCGCCACATAAGCAAAGATATTATTTCGACTAATTAATAATTAGATTTGTATTTTATTTTAGAATGAAAAAAATTTACTCGCCACCTAAGAAAAAGTGACGAATGACAAAACATTATATCGCCACATAAGTAAAAGTAACGAATTATATTTGATATCTAAAATTTAATTCCACGTATATTAAAAACCACAAATAAAATAATCTTATAATTTTTTTTTTGAAAGGAATTTATCTTATTAACTAATGGTAAAAAAAATAATAAAGATAAGTGCACAAATTTATAAGATAAAATTTGATAGCGTTTATGATTAAAAATAAAAAAAAAAAAAATGTTCCTTAATCATGATTAAATTAAAATTTAATTTAATTTAAAAAATGAAAAAATTAAAATTTATTATACCTACCATTATAAATTGACGCATCATACGATACCAGCAAAATTTCGTAGCAATACAAATCCACATCAAGTGAATTTTGTGTTAGTAATTTTGTTTCAATTTTAGATTATTAATGGCTGGGTAATTCTTAACTTAATTTTTAGAATCCATGTTTAAATTTACATTTATGATTATTACTTTCATTGTGTTTAATCGGGACGCGTAATGATTATATATTTATGTTTTGTTTACTGATGTAATTTTGTTTTCACATGCAGATCTAAATGTCTAATTTAATTTGAGATTAAATTCGTCCAAAAATAATTTGAAAATCAACGTACGAGTTTCTAGCATGTTTAACGTACTAAACTTTCCGTAAACAAGATAACTTATAACTTACTCCCTCCGTCCCATAATACTTGACACAGTTACCATTTTCATCCGTCCCAAAATACTTGACACGTTACTAAATAGGGAATGGGACCACTAATAAAAAAAAAACATTTTCATATACCCTCTTTGGGACCACAAACCCCAAAACCCAATTAAATCCTACATTTTATCTCTACTCACTACCCCCACCTTCCCTACTTTTGGTTTTCTTATAATATAAAAATACAAAAGAGAATCATTTATACAATAAACAAGTGTTTTAAATGACCCTACTTATAGTTTTCTTAAACTACGTGTCCACCTCAATGTCCCAAGCATTATGGGACGAAGGGAGTAATAAGTTTGAATATGATCCTATTGAACAAGAGGTATTTTTATAAATTGTATACATGAATTAAATTTTCCATAAGGCTCTTTAGTTTTTTTTTTTTTTAATTTATTTTATGAACAAAATAAAAAATTTGTGATTTAGGTGGCTTAATGAAGTTATTAAAACTTATTTCTTTATTTTTTTTATTACAGGGTGATTATGTTCATGCCTCAATCAATTAAAGCCAACTTTGTTCAACCCTTTCGCCAAAATTAATTGAAGGGACAGTGAAAAAATTTCAACGCATATATTTGATTTTATACAATTACAATTTTTAGATCATTTTCGAAACAATTTTCACTTCCTGGTAAATATATTAATTTATTTTATATAAATGTAAAAAATTCAATTTATATTAATTTTTTATATATATGTTTTTGATTATTTTTAAATTATAATACTTTTTACATATACTTATGTGTAACTAATAATTTTTGTTACATGTGTTTATGTGTATATTTTTTAATGTTCTTATCAAAACATTTATTAGGGGAAACAAAGTTCAAATTAAGCTTCGGATCTTCGGATTTAATTATTTTTTGATCATAAATTTTAATATAATTTGATCTATGAAAAAAAATATTTATGGGTGATATATTAATCCTAATATTTGACGGATGAGTTATCATATTTATGATTTATTTATTAATTATAAATACAATTTTTCCATAACTAACACCAATGAATAATAAAAACTATCCTCTTCTAACAGCAAATTGATCAAAATATTATATGGTTTAATTAAAAATATTAAGAATATTCTAGTTATTTATAAAATAAGTTGAACTAAACACAACCTTGATAATTAGATCAGAATAATATTTAATAAGTGAAGTTGCTATACCGTGCAACTGCCCGTGTACTAATACAATTATAGCTATAACATATTTAAATATTTCATATCACGTGTTTTTATTATTTTAATCTATTTCATGGGTTTTAATACCTAGTGAATAGATTCATTTTTTTTTTTATATATAATTATATTGTTATTACAATTGTTCAACATCTGTGCATTGCTGTGAGAGTAAAAGAGGAGTTAGCAATTAACAAAATCCTTGACAAAATAGATTAATTCAAAAAGCCCACTTAAGTTTTTTTTTTCTTTTTCTTTTTTTTTTAATAAATTTGGAATTTTTGGTAATTTAAATGATCACCCTTAAACAATCGTGATATAAATTATCACCCTAGAATTGATCAAATCAATAAACATACCTATCCTTCCAAATTACAAATCAACAATCTTTCCCAAAAGCCAAACAGAAGTGTAATATCATGGTTGTATTCTTTTGTCCAAGGCTTTTATTAGCTTCTCAAATTGGGCAGGCTTCCAAAGGACTCCTGCTAATCTCCGAGATAAACAAAGCTGGTAAATCAAATGGTATGTTGATACATAATTGCATATAGAACTGTGTAAGCAGAATAAAAAAAAATATATTAAATCTGAAAATCATATGAAAAAAGTTAAAATTTTTGTAAAAGTACCGACTTAACAGTGTGAAGACATGGACGTTATATCAGTACGAAGCCATGGAAGAATTCGAAGAGGAAGAAGACGACAGCGTTCCCTCCTATCTTCACCTTACCTCTCAGAAACCCATCAGTGCCATCGCCGCACCACTACCACCACCACCATTTCTCCGTAGTTCCATCGGCAACAATTACGCGTTCCATACCACAAAGTATCTCTTAAAACGACGCTTTGCAACTGTAAATGGACCGAAAGAACAAATAGAAATCCTAGTAGTAAAGAATGTAAAAAAGGGCCATACTTAGGGAAAGCATCTCCTAAGCACTACTTCGCGGCTATAAATCAGTAAACTATTCTACCGTGAAAACCTCAAAGATGTAGATGTGGAGATAGAAAAACAAATCCCAACACCGTCTTTTCCACCACCACATTTCATTTTGGCACATTTCATTAGCAAGAACATCTAATATCTAACTACATTAAGGCCTTGTTTGATAAATACCTTTTGAGATTGCTTTTAGTTTATTTTTTCCTATTAGAGGTTTGACCATTTAAATAAGCTAATTTGGGTGTTTGGTAAATAGCTTATTAAAAGAGCTTTTTTGGGTTCAAAAAGCTCTTTTAGAAAAATCTCATTATAGGAGCTTTTTAATTAGCTTATTGAACAATTATCTTTTTGGTTATTAGATACACTAAAACAGCTAACAATTAACAACTATTTATCAAACACTTTTACACAATTAGTTATTTATAATTAGCTAGTCAAATTAGCTATATAAATCAACTACCAACTATTACCAAACAGGGCCTAAATCCGTTAAATTTTAAGAGTTACACTTACCAAATATAATTGTTTTTTTTATTTTATTTTTTTAAGTGTTACACTTTCTTTTATGGCAAAAAACCACATTGTAATATTATTCCCTCCATGTTTTTCCAAGTATTACATTTACCAATTGTGTTCATGTTTTTTTAATTGTTACACTTTTTTTAGTAAAAAAAACTTCATTTTAAAATTATATCTCTTCTCGTATTGTCCCCACCCAAACCAACTACTACTTTATTTATTATTTCTTCTCTCAAATTTATTTTTTCAATAAACTATTAGCCCCATTATCTAAAAACACAGAGAGATCGAGTATATATATCTTTACTCATAATTATTTCTTTCCTCACATTATTACTTTTCAATAAACTATTAACCATAATATTTTTCTTTTACAATTTTATAATACTCCAACTCGTCCACTTATCCCTTATTATATTTAAGTAAATTAAATTGCCTAAAACTATATTTCGATCAAAGTGATCACTTAAAAAAAACATGGAGGTAGTAAGAAATTTGTTGATGAAATTTGTTGAAGAAAGTATGGAAATCAAAACTACATTTTGATGATATTTTCTGAAACAATTGTATACCAAAGTCAAAAACGACATTAAACATAGTTGAATTTTTGTTAATGATGAATTTACACAAATAGCCCAACCTCACTGCATTTTTACAAAAAATACCCCTTGATATTCTCACTAAGTCTATCAAGGAGATAAACTTGAATTTCCTCAAACCTTCCAAGGTATGCTTATGAATTGGACGGACATAAATACATTTTACCTTTCTATGTGAAGATCACACCTGAAGGCAAATGTTCAAATGATGCAATATTATCCAGTCACTCCTTTAATCCTGTACAGTATTCCTTCCATTTGATACGACGCATATTCTAGTTGACCACTCGACGATGCTTCAATCGCCTTCTATTTTGCTCAGCATTGCCAATGGAAGCCTACTGGTTAAAAGCAAATAAAATCTTTTATGAAAGAGGCAAAATCTAGTTCATTTTATTACAAAAGCTCTCACCAGAAAACAGCAAAGTTAAGCAAATGTCAAGATTTTAAGATAACTGGGAAAATTAAGCATGATCAATCACTAATTAAGATGTAAAAGCCGGAGAAACAGCACCAAAAACCTATTCCCATTAAGAATAATGTTTCCTGACACAATCCTTAGCAAAACACATTGAAAATCACTTACCACAAAATTCACACTGAGGCTTCATATCATTCACTGGTGCTTAAATCCAAGTACATTCTATACGCATCTCGGTCAGCTGAATAGTACTTTGCTACCAAAGAATCTATCCTGAAACCAAGTTTCTTGTAAAGATCCACGGCAGGAGTTCTCGAGGGATCGACATGAAGAGATATCCTCTGTATCTTCCTAGTTTGACATTTTCGAATTGCTTCTCTAAGCAGTGCTTCCCCATAACCTTGTCTTCTATATTTCTCTTTCACTAGTTTTCAATAAAGAAAAAAACTTAATTCAATCAATCAATCAATTAAAGCCTTAATCCCATAAGAAAAAAAAAACAAAAAACAAAAAAAAAACAAAAAAAAAAAAAAAAAAAAAAAAAAAAACTGAATTAATAAAGAAAAATAAAAGTCCAATTAAGCTTTTTCAGTTATAAATCAGAAAGTGCATACTTATAACAGGGTACATAATAGCTACATTACTCAGACTTTTCATTTCACCTCACTTTCAATCCTTGACACTTGGACATGGATAGGACACTTGACACTTGACACTTGACCCTTGACTAAAACCATATAATAAATACACAAAACAGCCGGGTTGGAAACTTGGACTATTTAACACGTAACAGGGTGGACACCTAAGTTAACAAGTTAAATGCATCAAAAAATTGAATGCTTCCTTTGCTCCAAATTAATTTCACCATTTCTAGATGTTAAAACGACTACTTTATTTACCCTTGCCACCCAAAACCTTGCACCCATGGCACTCCTTTAAACAACAAGAAGTCAGGAACCACCACAATCAACCAATTGCTACCACATTTGCACCTTTGTCATATCACACAACGACCAACATAATTCCACGACCACAATCTGCCTAACCACAATCGTTACAATCCACCTACTACCAAAATTATGCAACCCTAACAACACTACAATCATATCAAATTGGCATAAAACTACAAATATCCTTATCTTCTAGCCCCAACACCATTGCAACAGTCCTCATCTCATGAGATCGAATATTCAAGCATTTCTTACCAAACGGGCAAATTAGAACCTTTGTAGTTGAATTTGACAATGAACTTTTTAGATCTGAGACCTTCGGTCAATTCTAACAACTAAAGGTTCTAACTTTGCTTATCTAGTAATCCCAATGATAATATGTTGAGATAAAAAAAAAGGTTAACATGAAGCTAGTGGGTGGGGAGTCTTAATTCTTCTGGTGGGGTGAAGGGGCAAGACAAGTGGTGGTGGTGATACGATGGTGCTAGGAACAAAGGGGATGGGGTTGGTCGTGGTGGCTGTGCTTGCTGGGGGGTTAAGTGGGTAGAGTTGGTGGTGATACATGGTTGGCAACCAAGGCAGCTTGGCAGAGTGTATGAAGAGGGAGAGAAAAGAGAGGATGTATAGATAGAGTGGGTAATAAATGAAAATTTAGTAGGACACGATTGTGAAATTTACTACATAAGGAAATGGTGTAGTTATTGTGAAATCACCACAACCGAAATATTACAGAGGTTTGAAAAAGGCTACATTAACTACAAGGAGAAAATGAAAGACCCTAGTTTCAACCAAGCAACAACAATTTCCTAACTGTCCACCTTCTTAGAGTTCCCACCACAAGTAAACAATGAAGAGAGCAAATAGAAAGAACTTATCATTAGTACTTCACATAAATCACCCTATTTTGTCCTCTGTTGCAACTTCAGCATCAGGCTGATTGTTGAAACAAAATGGTTCATGCTAGTGATCAACAACACAGAAGAACAGTATGACAGCTTGTTACAAATTATCAACTCTAAATTTGTTAAGAATCAGATGTGCATAAAAATTTATAAAGACAACATATTTCATGTCAGTTTTGATAAATCAAAAGGCATAAACATATAACAAGTAACATCTGTTGTTTGTTGTAGTTCCTATGCAACCAACAAAAGCTCTAGTTTGAAAAGAAGTAAGCTGGTATTAATACAGGCAATAAGAGAACAGAAAAAAAATATTTGTTCAATAATAAAAAAAAAGTCTGGTAAGAGATATTAGAAATTTTGTGGTACATATCTAGACGACTAAGATTCTGCAATTAACTGATAAACTAGAGGTTTGCACAGCTATAAAGGAGCACCCTCAATTTATCTAATATAAGTACCTTGTTCAGCAGTAAGGTATACAAAAACTGTACAAACATTGAGAGTAATGTCAGCGTCAAAAACATAGAATGACAATTCATCCAATAGACATAAGTAAACATTAAGTTGGCATCTGTAAAAAATTATTTGATTGTTGGTCAGCTGTGACTACTTTTTTCATCATAACAGTGGATAATACACTTGCTTCAACCACGCTTACATGAAGTATCAAATACATGTTCGATTGCAAGACATTCTTTCAGAAGATACCAAATAGAGATGAAATGGACAGGATATATTGGTCCAGATATATCATAGGCAGCATAATCCCCTTGGAAGAATGCAGTACAAATCCAACATTAGAAAAGTAAATAGAATCTTCCCTAAGTGGTGACTCATTCTTTTTTTTTTTTTTTGTTCTAAAAAGCGCCACCCTTAAGTCCCTATTTGTAAACTTAGAGCCATGCTTCACAACTAAGCATTTAATAAACTTTTTTTAGAAAAAAAATGCATAAGCATTTATATACGGCTACATCATTTTGATATGGCCATATTGTACAGGAATTTCAATTGACACAAATCATTTGGTTTAGTATGGGATGTTTTAAAAACCTAAGATCTTGTCCGGATCAAATGTTCCAACCCTAAGTTTTTGCATTGCACGTTGCAACACGTATGTTACTTAAAACTTAGTTGCTATTACAAGTTACAGTGAAAGATCCACATGTCTCCCGATAATGGCTCTATGCCTCTAATGATCTAACTACTCTAATAGCATAAATTTATAAGGAAATCCTTAGTATTTTGAAACTAAATTTGACTCGGGACACATTCCACAATCAATGCATCATATCCGTTCTTGCAAAATCATGATCAGTCAGATGATCACATCCAAAATCGTATTTTGAACCTTGGGTGAATTAGATACATCAAGAACAATGTGCTATCTTGCTGATCTAGCTAGGTGAATCAATTCTAGGGTCTGGACATTGCTGATGTAGCTAAGTGAATCAATAAAGTTAAAGCTATCTTGAATCCAAGTTTTCTTGAGTACCAACGAAAGTTATTAGGACAGATGAATCAGTTAATACAATGTCCTTTGGCGAGGAAATGTGTCAACAAAAAATAAAATAAGAAGATCTTTAAGCATGGACCAAAGTAGTTTTTCTAAGGAGAGCAAGGAGGAGCATGAATATGGCATGCTGCTATAAAATAACTTTTCTGGACCTTAGAGATTAAAAAATATAAGCTCAGGATCAAATGGATTTGTGCTAGCTTTAACAAATGGTTGGGATTGGAGAATAAGGTTCTGGCAATTAGGATCATCTCAAAAGACATGGGACTTTGTAACAAAAGTAGGTTATTAAGAATTGCATATGACAAACTAAGAAGCCCTTGTGTAGAGAGGGAAGAACCGTAGAATTCAATAATGTTGTAAATGCAGTCTTAGATTATGAGGGAGGCATATCAGCAAGACAACAATAGTAGAACGAACAAACTCATAATAGCAAATAATAAGGATTATGTCTTTGTACTCTTGTCACCTTTTATGGAAAAGACAACAATGACTAAACACATTTATTTTTGAAGTGGTTAGTGCAAGCTCAGATAAATTGGTTTTCATATTACATGGTAACAACAAGCTGATCTGGATGTCAACCAGGAACAGGTTAATGACGGCACTATCCTTAAAGATACTCTGGCACCGTAGCTATATGGCTGCAACAAATTGTAAGAGCTTCAATATGGTAGCTGATTTGGGTAGAAATACCCAAGCCACGTGGCCCAATCAGAAGGGGACACGTGTCACCCTAGGAGAGGCCCAAACAGGACCAATCACCAATTGACACGTGGCACTTCCAATCATCAGGGAAAAAGGCGGCTTTCAAAGGCCTAAATCCCGAGAACGCCATAAAAACGGCGCGGCCCATCTAGGAAAGGGGGCATTGATTCCTATGACCCTGTAAATAGGGAGATTTACCCCGATTTGGGGGCACGTTCATTTATTACATCACAATCAATTCTCTCACATCACATAAAATACCAGATCTCGGGATCTGAGAAGATACTTTTACTTTCCGCTCATTTACTTCACTTCGACCGTTTGTTTGTTTGCAGGTACAACCGAAGAGCAGCCAGTCTTGGTGACGAAACTCTCCCGTAGGACATCTCGCAAAAAACCCAGCTTTAGTAGAGGGATTGGGCTGTTTGTAGGGATAAAAAATTCACAACTTAATAGTTTTTCCCAAAGATGACATAACAATTTATTTGGATAGCAAAGTGGAAGGGAAAGGGAAGGGAGTGAAGAAGGAAAGGGAAGAAAGGAAATGGAGGGAGAAGGTTGAAGGTTGAAGGTTTTATGTCTTCGTCAAGTGGAATTACTAGATATATAATGGATTAAATTATGGAGATAATTAAGTTCGTTCTTTTGGGTCGACATTATATCATAGCTAAAGGTATTAATGATCTTTGGGGTATTAAAATAGGCCAAAGCCCAATTGAACGGATCCCATTAGGTCACACAAAGGGCCTGAACATAAGAGGAAAAGGCCCATGATGGGCCTCTCCCTCTAGGTGGCCGAACATATAGAGGATTTTGAGTGGGCTTAGCTCACCTACTTGGTGTAGGTATAATGAGATTATCAATAGACCAAGTGCCTAGGTTTTGAGATAACAGTTGATGTGATCAACAAACTTGAGTTAGCTAACACAAAACCCAATCTCCCTCTCTCTCTCTCTCTCCCTCACGCCAGAGGTTGTGCACGGTGGTAGTGGTTCGTGGTGGTAGTCGGTTGTCCGCAAAGGTGGTGGTGGTGGTGTTTTCCTTAATCATACGACCAATATAGGATTGGTGGACGTTTGATTAAATCTCGTGGACTAAGTAGCAGAGCCACACTTGGGGCTCTATTCACTCCCTGACTTGTCGATCAAAATGTGGAATTACGCTTCAACAATATTATTATGTGATTCTTATATGTTATGCATGTGATTCTGTTTTAGGTGCGTATGAATATGATTCATGAAATTCCGCTTGAAGTACCTAAATCCCTACATGAACACGTTTGATCATAATAATAGGATTATTTTAATGTCCATGTTCATAATAATCAAGTAAGAGAGAGAGAGAGAGA